ATTTTTAGACTTTTTAAAAGAAATCCTCAATGATGAAATATATAGTGAAAATAGTCTTTTATTCAACTGAAAAACACAATGCAAAAAAATTTAGGTGCATTTTGAAATCAACTTGTACTTTATGAAACTAAACATCTATTTTAATGAATTATATGCAGCAATAAACAACATGTAAACTAGAGCTGCACCACTCCGGATAAATTGAGAATCGTGTTTTTTTTTTAAATATAAATTGAAGATCACGATTCTGAAGAAAAAAAGATTAGAAAACTAAACAAAATAATGTCATTTACTAGTGGTTCTGACAAAATGTTCATTGCTTAAGTTAAAAAAAATATATATATTCATTTGAACAAAAAAAAAAATTTCAATGAAGAAGTCAGTGTCTCAATTCATAAAGACCCGTTTCACAATTGGAATCTCCTGAATGAATGATTCAATGACAAATACTTTTTTTTTTTTAAACGGGCAGTTGTCGCCACATCCTGGCGGAAGAGGATAAGCGTTACAATACATACAAGTGTTAAGATGCTTTCGTTTTGATCGCTACTGTAGAGAATAAGTGTTTCTACCCAAACTTTAAACTTTTATCCCAGTTATTTAAATGTCTGTAACACAGAAATAATGATGTGTGGTTGAAAAGACTGTTTGTGTTGCTCTTTCTGGATCAGCAGCAGCATGAATGATTCATTAACATGGCAGCGACAAAACGTGCTTCTCATGCTCCACTGACACTCGCGATGTGAAGCAGTCATAAAAGACATAGCTGAATCGTTGTCATTCAGGAATGAGATTGCGTGGGTGTTTGAATCGAGTTCGCGATCTTTAAACGATTGTATGAGCCTGTGAGTTATTGTTTCACATTATTTGTTTATGCATTTATATGTATTATATATTGTATAATGTTTATTGTTTTCCCCTAATAAGATAATGAGGTGGGCTGTACCCATAACATCTGTGTTTTAGTCAGGCAGTGATGAGGTAGGGGTGTGGCCTATGGGGAAAGGAACAGTTTTGAGAACGTGTTTGGGAGCGGTGTTAATTTCTGTTTTCATTTTTGATGTCGTATGATTGTTATTCCAATAAATAATGAAGTGAATGGAACACGCGGCGACTGTAATTCCCCAAACAAGGAAGGACATTACAACGATTAATCGTGCAGCTCTAATGTAAACACTGCAAATTGTTTCACGAGGATATCGTCACGTTCTCGCGAGACCAGTCTCCCGACACACATCGGATCTCGCGAGATCTCGTGCCACAAGATCTCGTCACATCCCAAGTGAACGATGCATATATTCTTATTTCTATTGATATAGTCAACAACTTTAAATTAATAGTTTCATATCCCTCCATTGTTTTTATATTTATGTAATTCGCAGTTCTTCGTGGGATTTGCAGTTCTTTCCTCACTAAAGCCGTTAAGGACACAGTCTTTTACCTTTGTCTTATCAGATTTTCAAATACTTTGCTTCCAATCAATGTTGGTAATGTGATTCACCTCGTAGCTGGTCGGTTCGGTTCATAGCTTATAAAGTTTGAAACGCTTTTCTAAAACACTAGAAGCTATTTATTGGATCAAAATTCTATTCCTCTCTAAAAAGCATCACATCCCAGAAGTAAAATGGGTTGTAAACAGTGTTTCATGTACTTAAAAAGAAAGTTTGTGCAAAAATTTAAGTTTTGACATCGTTCACAAGTTCCAAACCAACGTCCTATATGACAAAAAGTTGATTTTCTGATTGTTTCAAATGTTTTTGATCAAACAAAGAAAGTCAGTAGGGTGAAAAACAACACTGGACCCCAACGATTTTCGTTGCATTAAAAGAAGATTGAAAAAAATCATCTTTGTGTTTCACAGAAGAAAGTCAGTCATACAGGGTTGGAACTGTGAACTTTCCCTTGCAAATAAATAACTTGTCTTCTTGTACATATATGTTGTATCAAATATGTTCACAACTCACCACTTAACAACTCAACCCAGCTCTGGACTGTCTCTGGAGGCTGAGTCTCTTTAACATGTTTCAATGCCTCGTCTAGCAACATGTCTCCAGTGGGGGCATCAGATTTACAAATCACCTGAAGAACAAACAGGTTTAAAGAGCACAGATAAAGTGTAAAGCATGTTAAAAACAAGCCCCCAAGTGTCACACACACCTTTCTGTTTAGCAGGCTTTTCCTCCTCATTCCAGACGCCTCCAGTTGCAGGCGTCCTCTTAAGGCAAGTTCAATAAGCATACACCCTCTCAGTCCAGACGATATGCAATCATTCCAGAATGATGTGTAACCCTGAGCAAGAAAAATGTTCTAAGAATAACATCAGCAGACATCACATAAGATATACTGCTATTATCATTAGCGTGGATATGGAAGAAATGGCATGCTTGCATAATGTAACAGCTGACCAAAACTCAAAGCCATTTATGTTCCTGACTGCATTCATTTTGTGACATTTTGAAGTTATTGGTCTAACCTTTCCAAGCTATGTTGTTTTGCAACTGTAACATTGAGGGACGTTGTAAAGAGTTACATAACGTACACCTATACAGCTCTAGAGACCTTCGCCTTTCAGCCATATTTTACTAAAAAAAAAAAAGCACACACACGACTGGGACCCTCACAGAAGGCTAAATGGTGAAGCTCTCCAGGAGCAGCTGCTTTTAAGACACTTAACCTCTGTCGTATTACAGGATTTATCTAATTCTCCAGTTACCAGCCGCTTCCTGGCGACCATTTGACTAACAAAGCCACAGAAGTCACGGCAAACCTCTCTATCCTTCAGTCCGAGCAGCAGCACCTCTTCCATCAAAGTCAGCCGCGTTTCTTTAGCGTCTCCCTTGTCGTCGTCCTCCTCCTCTCCGCGGCGGGACTCGTCCTCATCCTCGCCGGGGCTTTTCTCCTTCTCCGCGGCGGCGGCGCTACGCGAGGCCTCGGTCCGTCTCTGCACCAGGCCCGAGCTTCTCTGCGTTAGGGAAGTCATTGTTTGCACAAACCTAAAAACACCACCGTGTTTAAGTCATTTAATTATACATCCGCCAGAGCCCGTAATGTCTGTATTCGCGCTGTTCCGCGCCCTTATAACTGTTTCATCAATATACTTTCTGTTGACGTGGATGTTTACATGCATCCGGGACGTTCCGCTCTTAGTTCCTCATGCAATATGGCGGACAGCGATGACGCAATGACGCATGTAGTGTGACGTCGACGTGAACGTGTGCACGTATCCTATTTCTGTGGGTGACGTTTCAAAACAGTTCATAAATTCTATCCTGTTCTAAACATTTTCTCAGTAAGTTTAAGAAGGATATTGATGCTGACTGCTCTTTTTGCTCGCTGCACTTGGAAAGTGTACCCCACATCTTCTGGCACTGTAGTTGTGTTAAAAAGGTATGGTATGATGTCTCTATGTTTATCAAAGAAAAGGTACTCTTTAATTTTAATTTGCATTTCGAAAATGTAGTTTTTGGATATTTTAAGTATGATAATGTAGATAACGAAGTTTTTGTTATTAATCTATTTATTTTGTTGGTTAAGTTTCACATTCATAAGTGCACATTTTCTAACAAAAATCCCTGTTTTACGGTGTTTTTTAAAGAGTTGGAAAATTGCTTGTGTACTATTCAACATAGAAGTGTGTGTTCTGTCTTCAAAATCTTTGAGTAATGTAAAGGTCATGCATGTCTCTGATTGTGTGTATGTATGTATATATAATAATATATATATGTATATATAATAATATATTTTTTAGAGTGTACTGCTTCCCGATATCATTGCAAGGAACAAATTTGTTGTAACACTTCAGTTTAAGGAATATCAGAAGTCAAATCATTCAGATTCTCTTCAAAAGTAGCCTATAGGTTATGAGCTTTTGTGTTTCTGATGTGACTGAGAACCATTAGCCTATGCATAGCCAATATCTCATCAGTTTTCTTTAATGAATATTTATTCATATTTGATTAGATAGATAACATATTTAAACTTTGAAATATATTCACCCTTACAGAAAAACCACATGAACTTCACATGTGCGATCACGTGTTAAAATCCCATGTGAAACAGATGAAACACACACGAAGCGTGGCAGCTTCTCTGTACAGACCACCATGAGCTTTTTAACAAATTCATGGGTACTTCTGATAACCAACAGAAGGAGACTGTTGATCCATCCGGTAAGTTTATGAACAAGCTTCCATTGAACACTAATGCTGAATCGCTGTTGAATTTTGTTTTGATTTTGCAAATTGATATTTTGATGTCGTTTCAATGTTTTACTTTTCAGCATGGGGGATTTAAAATTTCAATGTTCATTTATAAGTTTTTCATTAACATTTAATAAAATGTTTCAATGTTTTTTCAATGCTGACAGATCAACTGACATTATTTCAGCCTCATTTTTGCTGTGTGTAAATGAGCGAAAAGTTATTTTTGAAGGTAAAACCTCTCATATCTGACAGAGGGCATCAAATCCACACCGTCCTGGTCGTCGATGCCGAGGAGGTCAGAGAGATCCACACGTGTGAGGACGGTGCTCAGTGAGTCCCAGCTCCACATGCTGCAGACCTGTTACAGAGCTAATCCCAGACCGGACGCTCTCATGAAAGAGCAGCTGGTGGAAATGACAGGCCTCAGTCCTCGGGTCATCCGCGTCTGGTTCCAGAACAAGCGATGCAAAGATAAGAAGAGAGGTCTGATGATGAGAAGCACACAGCAGCAGCTTGAAGGCTGTCTGGTGAGTGAGCAGTTACTTACCCATTTACTTCCCTGTAACTTTAACACTTAACTTTTTTATTTCATAGCAATTACATTATATCATGCATTTCCTAATATTAATCATCTTCCATGGCAATGTTGCAAGTGTCTAGAAGTTTACTTAGTGGTGCATGAGCTGATGTGGCTCGTTAAAATACTTTTTTTTGTCCAAAGTGCAAAAGGTCTAAATCTTTCCAGACTGACTTTTAAAAAATGAACATTAAAATATGATCTGTAGATAAATGTATACAACCAGTCAGTCAGTTTAGAATAATTAATATTTTTTATGCTTTTGAAAGAAGTCTCTTCTGCTCACCAAGGCTGCATTTATTTGCTCAAAAATACAGTAAAAATAGTAATATTGTGAAATATTATTACAATTTAAATAACTGTTTTGAATATATTAGAAAATGTAAGTTATTCCTGTGATGATCAGAAGTGATTGTAATGACATTTATAACGTTACAACAGATTTCTGTTTCAAATAATTGTTCTTTTGAACTTTCTATTCATCAAATAATCCTGAAAAATAAAATGCATCACGGTTTCCTGTTTTCAACATTGATAATAATCTAACATGTTTCATGAGCAGCAAATCAGCATATTAGACTGATTTCTGAAGGATCATGTGACACTGAAGACTGGAGTAATGAAGCAGAAAATCCAGCTTTGCATCACAGGAATAAAATACATTTTAAACTCTATTAAAATAGAAAGCAATTATTTTACATTGTAATAATATTTCATAATATTACTGTTTTTACTGTATTTTTGATAAAAGCATAAGAGAACATAAGAGACTTGTTTTAAAAACATAAATAAATCGTAATCCTTCCAAACGTTTAACAAATTTGGATGCATTTTTATTTTGTATTTTACTGGAAACGAAAGCAATAAGAGATCCTGGAACAGAGAGCTCCTGTAAATATGGTCTAGTAGCGTCTATGGCTCGGACAGTTTGCAGTAGAGAACTCAAGTGGCAATCCGTGTTTTCATCCTCTGAAGGTTTCAGAGGAGCCGCTACAGCTGGACAGTCCAGAGAGGCAGGACAGTGACGTGCTGATAAACCCACCATGGAAACTACTGACCGACTTCATTCTACAGAAGGATGCTGAACACAGATCATACCCGCAACTGGTAAATATCAAGATACACAAAAGATGGCTTAATAACATCATTTTGTACTGTTGTTCACTTGAATGATTTGTTTTTTTTAGCTTTCTTTCTCAAAGGAAGTTTCCTGTTCTGCTGGAAGTGAAGTTGTGTCAATATCAGCTCAGTTAGCAGACACACCCAGCAGCCTGACAGCAAGTCCTGCAGACATGAGTGAGTAAACAGAGTCTCCCACCACTGAAAGAGCCAGTGCTTGACAGTTAACTGAAAATGATGAAGGTCTTCTTTATACACTACCATTCAAAAGTTTGGGGTCTGTAAGATTTTTTTTGTGTTTTTGAAAGAAGTCTCTTATGCTGACCTAGGCTGCATTGATTTGATCATAAATCCAGTAACACAGTAAAATTACGAAATATTTTCAGCATCATTACTCCAGTCTTCAGTGTCACATGATCCTTCAGAAATCATTCTAATATGCTGATTTGTTTGTGCTACTTTATATTTTTGTGGAAAACATCATACATTTTTTTTTCAGGATTCTTTGATGAACAGAAAGTTCAAAAGAACAGCATTTATGTGAAATCTAAATATTTTAAATCATTCTAAATATAAAGATTTTCTATTTAATGTGTCCTTTCTGAATAAAAATATCAATTTCTGTCAAATAACGTATTACTAATCTAAAACTTTTGAATGGTAGAATATATTATTCGAATAATAGTCAATTACTGTGTTTAAAGTTCATAATCTCAGGATTTTCCTGCCGTATTAGTGCTCTGAATGTTATTATTTTCTAATGTATTTTTTGGGTCAGAATTGATTGTTATTTTATTTCATTCTTTAGCATATGTACATGGTTTTATGAACTTGTGTGCCTCATTTTGATAATTTGCTCAGTTTCTAAATTAAACATTATTCTATGGATTGTCTAAATTTGTATATTTGTATTGTATAGTTTTTGTAGAAAGTTTTATTCATAATTATTGTATTTATTTCTTGAAATATTATGTAACATTTGTGCTTTGTTGTTCAGGTGACATTATAGTTTAATAAACATATTACACATATTATTTTGGTGATTATCAAGCAGTTTTTTGTTTCTCTGACCAAAACCGATGTCAGAACCCCCTTTGTTGAGTTGTGTGTTTAGTTTAGTTGTGTTTGGTGTTTTGTTTAGTTTTGTTGTGTTTTACTTTGTTGTGTCATGTTGTGTTTGGTGTTTGTTGTGTTTTGCTTTGTTGTGTCATGTTTGGAGTTTTGTTGTGTTTGGTGTTTTGTTTTGCTTTGTTGTTTTGTTGTTTTTGGTGGGGGTTTTTTGTTTGTTTTTTGGTGTTTAGTTTAGTTTTTTTTTGTGTTTTGTTTTGTTTTGCTTTGTTGTGTCGTGTTTGGTGTTTTGTTGTCATGTTTTGTTGTGTTTGGTGTTTAGTTTAGTTTAGTTTAGTTTGGTGTTTTGTTTAGTTTTGTTGTGTTTTGCTTTGTGTCGTGTTTTGTTTTGCTGTGTTTTGTTTTTTTGTGCTTTTTTGTTTTGTTGTGCTTCTTGTTTTGTTTTATTGTATTCTGTAGCTTTGTGTTTTGTTTGGACTGCACTTTTGTGTTGTTTCAGTTATCTGTCTTTTTAGTTTATTATGGATAAAAGCAACCAGTTATGCCTTTCATTTGATTGTCATTTATAGATTTACATTGTTTATACATAATTATGTCCCTCCCTTCCAGTATTTATGCATTTTGTTCAAAGTTTAGTAATAGCCCTGGTTATTATTCCCTTGTGAATTTCAAAATATTCCATCACAGGGCTGTCAAAAATATTGTACATTTTTCTTTTTCTTCAGAAAGACAAATCTGAGAAGTCATTCATTACTGTTAGTTTGTTTCACCTGTGAAAGCAGTTTTGACATGAATATGGCATGAAAAGCAATATTAACATTGCATTTCAATTACATTTTACATAGAAATTTAATTAGAGATAAGACAAAAGCATTTCTTTCTTTGAAGCAAGTGTTGCATTCATTCATTCATTTTTTTTATTTTAGCAAACAAAATTGCCCATTTTCAATATGAAAAATAAATGAACTTTTCCACGACATTCTAATTTATTGAGATGCACCTGTACAGATTAAATAAATAGTGAGAGTGTGGAAAGTGTTTTAAAATACGTTATTTCTAAATGTCCACAAAAGTGCAAACAGCTGAAGAAATACCCATATGTTGTTTACATGAACGGCTCATCTAAAACATCAATATGCTCATTTATGGAGTAATGAGTGTATTGTAACTGATAATGAGCCTATGGCAAATGCAAAGCCAGTCAATAAATCATTGGTAATTACTGTAATAACTCTCAATGAAAAGTTTACGGTGTTCTTTATTTAGTTTCTAGCCCCTGCTGCTCACATCAAAGAAAACACAGAATGCTTTCAATAACGGAAGTAGAAAAAGCAGTTAACAGGCCTTAAAAAGAGAAATAAACATTCGCTTTCTCCGCGCAGTCAACCCATGATACAGCGGGAGCTGCGCTGACAGACGCGCTAAATCACTCCAGAGAGGTCAGCTGTGAAGACCTCCACTCACTCCAGCACATACTGGAACCATTATCTGGCCCATTCGTTAGCCATCAGCCCCCGTGTGATCCTGCAGCCAGCGCCCCTCTTTAAGACAACAGCCGCACACTGAGCGATACTCTTACCCAATGCCGTCCTTAGCTGACACGGGGCCCGGTGCAAGGTAGGGAGTGGGGCCCCCCTCGGTCCGTTCACCATCGAGTTCCGCGTTCCTCAAGCGTGGGGCCCGGTGAGACCACACTGGTTCCACCCCCCTAAGGACGGCCCTGCTCTTACCGCAAACACTGCTCTACTCTAAACCCACACAGCCGCTACTGAAGCCATGCAGAAGAATGCTATTATCATCAATTATCAGAAGAGACGCCGACACGCCGTTATTGGTTTCAAGGTAGTCACATACTATACATGTTAAAACAAAGTAATACTGTGTGCACAAGGCGTGATATGGTCGCGATATCTGTTTTGCACACAGTATTAAACCTTCCTGAAACTTCCGATATGAATAATATAAAAAAAAATAATAAACTAAACAATTACACTTGCTCTGTAACGTGGCTGACCAGACGTGAGACGTGCGGATCCGTATGCAAGCTTTATTAACATGAGAGGAGGTCAGAAACACAGGCAGGGTCGAACGGTGGCAAACAGGTATATGGCGGGCAAGACACAAGAATAGTCCTAGGGCTAGTGAAGGTCAACGATTGTCGAACAGGATCACAAGGGCGAGACTAAAGGGATAAATCCAGGAAAACAGGCACAGATCAAAAACCGAGAAAACAGACAAGGCAAGACTAGGCTAAGGCAGGGTAAACTAACGAGGACTCTGTAGTGTAGCTATCAAAAGATAAGCGCTAAACATAACTCGACAGAGGGAAGGGATCAGAGTGAGTGTTAAATAGTGAGTGAGTTATATGAGTGTGCAATCAGTGCTATGTGCAATCAGTGAAATAGCTGTGTGCAATCAGTGCTGTGTGCAATCAGTGCAATGAATGATGGGTAATGTAGTCTGGGGTGATATGCAACAGTGTGTAGTGCGAGTCAATGAAAATGGAAAGGGTGACCTCTGATAGCTAGCAGACGGAAGTTCATGGACCGGATACGTAATATGCACAGTTACATTTGCAGAAAGCATATGCTTTGTTGTCAAAATGAGCCTAAATGCGAAATAATAAGCCTGATAAGTAGCCTAAAGATAATTTCCAAAAGCATAAACATAGAATAACTTTTAAGTTGCAATTACTTCATACTCATGGTTTTTGAACATGTTAAATACAGTCAGAAAATGTTTTTTAAAAAATGGTTAAATACATTTTATTTATCATACGTTCTTATATTTATTGTTTTATTTTTAATGTGTTTTTGTAAAGTCATAATTTTGTTATAATCCTATTTTGATCTGTTTGCTATGTGCAATAATTACTGTTTACTTTTCAGCGTGATTTTTGGTGAACTGTAGGCCTATTAATAAACTAAAGTAAGTTTGATCCTCAAACATCATTGTAATTATTAATTGTGGAATTTATATATGGAAACCACAACAATTAAAAACAAAAACATACACAAATATATAGCCCTCGTTTTTTAATTTGTAGATAATCGCAAGTGAGATTTCGGTGATATTTTGACCATTGAACTAGGAAATGTCCCCAGTTTTCATTTAAGAAATCTGGTCACCTTACTTCAGGAGCTTAGGTAAGCACGCAGAGGCCTCTAATGGCATATGTTACGTCGCTCCATGAAGCAAAAACTATTGTGGATTATTTATGAGCTGAGGGGGACAGCAAATGCAGATGATGAGCAGCTCTTTAAAAAGCTTTTTCCTTGTGTTAGTACATCAAGTGAGCTCCATGTAATCTCATTTGAAGATGCATGAAGATGCTGAAAGACATTACCGTCAGTGTAAAGACCCTATTAACATGTTCAGTAATGGACCAATTTATTCAAAAATAGATTAAGCATATAATGCAAATCTGTCTTACAATTTCATATACGTACCTCTTCCCCAGCTAGCATAGAGTGTTGGGGGTAACGCATTAGTAACCCGAGGTACAAACATAATCAGATTACTTTTTTCAAGTAACTAAAGTAACGCATTACTTTTTAATTTACAAGAAAATTTCTGAGTTACTTTTTCAAATAAGTAATGCCATTTACTTTGTTTTCCCATTTAGTGGCTGAAGCTCTCCTGGCCCCATTTTGAGAGAAATCAGGAGCGCACAAAAAACATATTCAGTATTCCTCAAAAATAATAAAACCGGTGAAATACAAACTCAGAATAAGAAGCAAACTTGCAATAATTAAAATGTTAAATAACATAAATCCTTTATGTTTGAAGCCCATTTTATTAACCAATGTCTTTGCTGCTGACCCTCAATGATCCAATTCAACCATACTAAGCAAAACTTATTTTTTTTTGCTAAAGGGAGTTGCACAGCACAGCTGAAAGGTTCATTAATTTTACTTTTGGTGTGAACGCTTTTACATTTGCCAAAAATATAACTTTTTATAATTAAAAACAAACAAGCAAGCCCAGCCCAGATGAGAAAAAGTATGCAAAAGTAACATAACGCCTTACTTTCCATCAAAAGTAACTAAATAAAACCGGTGAAATACAAACTCAGAATATGATGCAAACTTGCAATAATTAAAATGTTAAATAACATAAATCCTTTATGTTTGAAGCCCATTTTATTAACCAATGTCTTTGCTGCTGACCCTCAATGATCCAATTCAACCATACTAAGCAAAACTTATTTTTTTTTGCTAAAGGGAGTTGCACAGCACAGCTGAAAGGTTCATTAATTTTACTTTTGGTGTGAACGCTTTTACATTTGCCAAAAATATAACTTTTTATAATTAAAAACAAACAAGCAAGCCCAGCCCAGATGAGAAAAAGTATGCAAAAGTAACATAACGCCTTACTTTCCATCAAAAGTAACTAAGCAATTAGGTACTCTATTGTAGTGATAATTATTATTATTATTATTATTATTCTTTGTTGCTTCCATTTAAAAAAAATTTTTTTTTTTTTTTTTTTTTCAAAATCGTGTGGTGTAACCAACATGCAAAAACATTCAGGGAAAAAAAGTACAACTGTAAATGAACAGTGTTAACTATCACCATATTATAGAAAGCCAAGGACACATTCCTCATTGTTCATAAACAAAACCAAGGCTAAATAGTCAATGCCACATGCCCTCAGATGCTCATTATATGTGTAAAATGAGACCAAGCGACACAGGCGTGCAGTTTTCTTCTAAAAGCATTATAGATGTCATCAGTTCAAGACGGGACAATTAGAGGAAGCTCTTGTTGCCTTACTATTAGAAAACATGCAAGAACAATCATCAAGGCTTGATAGAACAACAATAACACTGATGCAATCTGAAGAGCTTGAGTCAGTGGTTGTGAGGAAAGGGAATCAGACAGTTAGTAATATATTTCCAGTGTGAGCAATTAAAACTTGCAACCTCACATATGCGAAACATTCGTTTTCTACATTTGACACCCATTGTGGGTTTTAGCCTTTACTTGTCTTAAAATGTTTGCCAACAAGTGGCTAAATGGGACTACAGAGGCTGTCAGTTTCATTAAACGTCATCAGATAAGGGAATTCATCAGTGTTGCCAAGTCCACGATTTTCCAGCAGAATCGGACTACTTTTACACTGCTGCCGCAGGTTGTTTATTTAGACTGCGGGTTGAAGTGAAACTCCCCAGCCCCCAGAACGCGATTTCGACTGAGGTGGAACCCCCTGGAAGGAGGTTTTTACCCCACAAAACACAAATGTTCTGGTTTTGTTATGCAGACCTGGCAACCCTGGAATTCATTAGCCACTTTTCTCCCAATGCATGATTATTTTCTTGCAACTAGCTGTTGAGTGTACATCAGTTGTTGCATTGTGGGATTGAATGGGTGTACTCAGTAATGTCCACTATGGTTTTGGACACCACTACAAATGGCTGTCCCCTCAAATAGTACACTATGTCCACGGTACACGGGACACAGCCCGATTTTAACTAACTCGCTCATCAAGATTCTTTTCCAAATACTGCTCAGAAAAGAAACGAGTGTAGAAGAGCATTAATAAAGACCAGACTCTGAACAAATGTTCTACTAACATTACTGGAAGAACGTTTCTTTATAACTTTAAGATAACCTTGGCAGAACGTTATGCAGAGCGTTCCTTGTTAGCTTGTGTATCATCCTTACATTTCTGATTGCATGTCCTAACAATATCAAAATGAATTTTAATACCGAAATGAAAAAACATGTTCAAGTCATTGTAATTGCAAATTGCATTTTTTATTTACTTTTAATAAATGAACAGAAAAAAACTAATGTCATATCATTGACCTTAATATTATGTTGAGTAATTTTACCAATGCATTTCCTTTAGCATGGAAACGACACGTGACAGCTTTCTGTCCTGAAATTTCAATGCACTTATGAAATACACCCAGATTATATACATTGATATGTTCTTTGAGCTTGTAAGTGGCTGTCAAACTACGCAGTAACCTCCCTTCCCTCTTCCCTCCGCAGAAGATGTGCAGGAAGCCTATAACAATAGGACCCCCTCTGCTCAAGACTTGCTTTGAGAAAAGACCCACAGCTCACACAGGCCCATGTTTACCATTAATCCAGACCAGGTGATGTGCAACCAAGGTCACAAGAGAGAGCAGAAGTCATTGCCTGGTGGTCTGGCTCTAACCCGAGCCAGTGATAGGTCCTGTCAAGTGAATAAGTGAGGCCACATGGTCTCCCAGATGTGATGTAACAACATGTCGAATGGTGTGTCAAAAAGAACATGAGATGTCCCTCTGTGACGAATATTTATCGCAGTTCAGCGCTTTAATCAGACGCAGTGGGTTCACAATGATAGACCCTCCACGAAGACACAAGTGAGCATTAGATTACAGCAAAGAGGGTGAATCTCAATGAGAATATCACCATATCAGCCTCACTCTTTCTCTCTAATGGCTAGACGTTTAACATTTGAACTCAAGCGTCCTGGTGGACTAGGTAGCTGGTTTCTCCTCAGCTCTTGTTACATTATCACAGTCCTCTTAGCTAAATCATAGCAGACACATGGACTCTCACAGTCCTAAACATAACCATTGAGGGGGTCTTTGTGAACCCTGAACTCTTACGATTGGTGTTGATTGCTTGGGCACCTGCTGAGAGCTGTCAAACAAGCAGATCAGAAAAGGGCTATCCTGTTTCTGCCAATCAGTGAACATGACCATATAGATTAAAGACAGAACCACATGCATTAAAGCTGTCAATTGTTTGTATTGGCTCGTCTCAAACTAACATGACCAGATTACATTTTTTCCCTAAAAAAAAACATATTTTATAGACCATTTCAATTGTTTGCATTGTGCATTGCATTAAATTTAAATCATCATAAATTAAAGGCACTACAACTAAATCTACCATGATGTATAAAGCTTTACAATTAAATTTTCATTTCATTTCATTTAACATTAGAATATGGATCATGTAATAAGAAAAAGTATAAATTAATATTAATAATAACTAATGACCATAATTTTGGGGATGAAATTGATTATTTAATCATTTTATTATTATTATTATTATTAAAATATTTATTTGTTTGTTGTGACATAATTTTATATAGTAATACATTCTGAATTAGATTCTCTTAGAAACAACTGCATTACAATACAAATGCAGCACTTTTGTAAATTAAAGGCACTACAATAAAATCTACCATGATGTATAAAACTTTACAATTTAAGGCGAGACACTGCAGGTGAATAGGGTAAACAAATAACTAATAGTTATCGCCTTACTTACCCAGCTGATTGATTACATTGATAATTGCAAAAAAAATTTGTATTACAAGTTTTCTAAAATGTTGTTTAAATATGCAAATAAGTCATTATTTAATGAAATATGTGCTAATTTGCATACATTTCTATTACAAAAATCTAAACACTGGATGACGTCCATTTCAAAATTCTTGTTTAATATTTTTTGACATATTAGAGTCAAATGTTTTTACAGAGGGAATTTTGGGTATCTCATTTTTGTCACTCCATAATTCAGAAAATGCTTAGAACAGACAGAAAACACTATATTTTCACAATTTTGGGGGGAATGAAATGTTGTATATAATCCAGCAAATTATATATGAACAAATCCCTCTGTAAAAACCTTCAGGATATAGACAGGAATAAAAATGTAAAGTTTGGTGTGTGTAAGTGCTACTGAAGAGGAGATTTATGGCTCAGTGTAGGAGAAAAAACTCATTTTGAGAAAACGGCCTTTAAAAATATGTATTGTAATTGAAATCTATTGACACTAAATAGATACAGTGCTATAAAAGAAACCCTTAACAGTGTCTTTCGGATGTTTTCTTTCCACTAGTCTGAAAAAAACACTTTATGAAAAACCAAAAAGCCCAAAATCTCAAACGTGACAGGTGCATGAAAAAGCAAGTGTTTTTGCCTGCAGTGTCTCCCCTTAGTTAAATTTATTATTATTATTATAAAATGTGGGGAGAGGAATGAATGATCTGGATCAGCCATATCCATCAATGTGTTCATTTGACCATAAACATGAACTAACTATAGGCTACTATACTGTACAACTGCACATTAATCAATCGGTCAGTTTATGTTGCCTCTTTAGTTTAGCAACTTCATAACATACCTGAAATGTTCCATTAACTCTATACTGGAGTCTGCAGAGTTGTGGTCACAAGATGCAAACAACTGTGTGAGGGGGGAGGAAGGAAAAAAAGCAAAAATATTGGCATACACAGAATTGAGTTATGTGGGAGTGAGAATGCAACATTTTTAAAGGGTTGCTGATGTTGCCTAATAAATGAGTGGGTGTGGATGAGGTAAACCACAGAGACACAACATTAGGAGGGGAAGCACATTCATTTGAACCATAAGTGCCATGATGCCACACATCAGGAGAAAAGGTGCGCTCAGGTTTGTTTGTTTCCCAGCATTCCTCATGTTCTTCTTTGGGAGCTGTCATGTACGTTGACTTTCACAAATGTTACTGTGGGATGAAATATGTTGAGTCCTGAGTGATCTGCAATGAGTTATTTTTGAGTTCTGCATTCTGAAATTACAAATATTTATTTAGAAAAGAATCTAGAAAATGGAGACGAACAAGCTTGAAGAACAGACATCTGACTGTCCTGGACACACATGAGAAATCAGATTATGTTGTTGTAATATGACTCCTTGTGCTCCATCATACATCTTTTCCCCCACATTAAGTCAACTTTATTATTTTAAACCAATCTGACAGGCATCTTCTGTAATAATGGCTCTTGTACGTCATCATGCGGTGTCAAAAATAAACAGTCCGGCCACAAAATAAATTCTGAAAGTGTGTGTGTGTGTGGAAATTAATTCCAGCATGTTGTTGCAAAGAACAGCTTTGTCAATAATGCATCCAAAATTGTTATGTTGTGATATTGTTATGTGAGTAAATGACAAATTATGATGTAAATGATAAATTATGAAATGACAAATTAAGATGATGAAAAGGAGAATTCATGAAAAAATATATAGTTTGTTCAACCATTAAGTAAAAGTAAAATAATATCTATCTATCTATCTATCTATCTATCTATCTATCTATCTATCTATCTATCTATCTATCTATCTATCTATCTATCTATCTATCTATCTATCTATCTATCTATCTATCTATCTTTAAATCTTTAAATGTTTAGTTATTAGTCATACGAATCATCTCTATGATATCATTTTTTTCTGTTTAATAGTTTTATTGTCACATGATAGCAATATCAATATCAAATGTTACTTATATTACAGTTACAAAACTGTTCTACATCTTGAATGACAAATAAATAAATAATGTTCTACAAAATAATTTAGAAAAATAATGAGGCTTTTTAAAAATAAATTAATCTCTGAACAGTTGTATCATTATAGAACAGGTCCATTGAATTCATGGTCTGTTTTGAATTAACTAATTACAATAAATATAATAACTCAGTCTGAACAAAATCAAATTTATATTAACAGAAGATCTATATATTTATTATTTTATTTACTGAATTAGTAATTGAATTCATTTTCTATACAAATCCTTATGTTGTGATTTAAAATGCCTCAATAAAGCAAAAACATTGTTTGGTTATAATCTGACCTATTGGGTAAATATTTGTCAGTCAAACCCGCCTCCTTTCCTTCAGTCAGGGGGGATTTGTTTGGGATGTTCATACCTATAAGCTGTTGGTGGGGTATGTCTGACATGTGTAGGATGTGTATGGTCTCTGTTTCTGCTCGTTCAAAGGGAGGTCTGCAGACGGGTGTGGTGGAGGAAACTGATTAAAGAAAGACATGATTCTGGGAAGATCTAAAGAACAGAGGAAGCTGGAATATTATAAACTGTCTGTTTCTCCAGAGATTCTTGAGATGACAACTTATTTATTTATTTATTTATTTATTTCAGAAATACACAGGACTCAAGGGAACTCTACACACTTACACTTTGGGTTGTGTTTGGTATCTTGCACAGTTGCCATTATCAATGTAAAAACAGCATTTCTAAAAACGGATGTGACTAAAAAAATGAATCTGAGAAAAATGAACTTAAGTTAAGCACACACAACAACAGCAGAGCTAATGACCAGCTTATGACCAGCTAATTGCCACTCAGGACCAGCTTAGACCAGCTAATTACAAGACTGGACCAGCTAATGACCATCTTGGACCAGATAATGATTAGCTTAAACCAGCTAATGACCAGCTTAGACCAGCCTGAACCAGCTAATGATTATCTTAGACCAAATAATGACTTGTTTAAACCACCAAAGCCTGTGGGCCCAGCTCATCCTCCTCCTCCAGTGAGAGCTCTCCGGCCGCTGCCACAACGCCAGGGCCCAAACCCTCCATCTGCTGTAGGTGAACCAAAAACAACTGATAGCAGCTCTCAGTGATATGTGTCGGGTCCCCGCTATAATAGCAGCAACATTCACAAATATTTACAGAACAAGCGGGAACCCAGTGTGCCTGTAGTTTTCTCTATTTCTGTTTTATCACATGATAGAAAGTCCAAGGCCTTCTCAAGCCGTACGGCTGACTCATCTAATCTGCGGCCTGTTATGCATCAAACTAATATTGCTGTTGAGACAAAATGCAATGCCATCAAGTTAGCATTTTTAAACATTCGCTCACTAAAAAATAAATCATTTCTAATCAATGACTTAATAACCACAAACAACCTGGATTTTTTTCTAAATGAAACATGGCTAGAAGACATCTGCAGTGCAACGGTCCTCAATGAAACAGCCCCTCCTAACTTCACTTTCATGAGTGTTTGCAGGACTGTTAGGAGAGGTGGAGGTGTAGCTGCTCTATTTAAAGATGTCTATCAATGCAAGCAAGTGTCATTTGGCCAGTACTTGCCTTTTGAATATCTAGGGATTGTGTTGAAAGGTGCTCCACGCATTCTGTTTATCATTATTTACAGGCCTCCAAAATACCCTCCAGCCTTTGTTGAAGAGTTCACAGAAATACTATCAATGATTTCCTCAGAGTTTGACTGTTTTGCTATTGCAGGGGATTTTAATATTCACATAGATAATGC